AGTTGTACAGTGCTAGATATATACAGATTTGTTATACACTTTTTTTTTTTTTTTGTTTTTTTTGATTTATTTATTATAGATGATTATATATTTTGAATTAACATCTAATATTACAACTAATATCAACGACGTGAACAACAACAATGTCATTGCTATGTGTTTTAGTCAAAAAAGCAAGAGTAGTAGGAAACGACGGTATTATTATGCAAAATATTTTTGTTTATTTTATTTTTCTTCTCTAATTTATATATTGTATCTATTTTGTCATTTGTAGAAAATTGTAATACATATGTTGTATTAAAAATTAATAATGTTAAATCGACTACAAGTGTTGTTAAAGGTTTGAATCCAAGTTGGGAACAAGAATTTTATTTGTACGTATATTTTTATTGTTGTTGTTTTTTTATTATTAAAAAACAAAAATAAATATATAACAAGTATATATATTTATTCTTATTTATTTTTATTTTAGTGATGTCAATGATACAGTGTTTGGTTTACAAGTTGAATTATGGGATCGTGGTAAATTTCGAGATAAATTATTAGGATTATACTATATTAAATTAAATGATATTGTAACATTAGATGAAGTAAGTATAATAGAAAAAGAAAAAGATTATAATATTCTCATTTCTTTTTGACATTTTTTCATCTATTTCAATAGGATTTTGTTTTAGTTTTTTTCTAAAATTAGTTTAAAAAAAAGTTCAAAAGAATAATACAATTTGTGAATTTTGTTTTTTATTAGGAAAAAAAAAACACGTAGAACATATGTATTTCTGAAGTGTAGAGATAATAAGAAAAAATGAATTATTTCGTATTGATGAAATAAAAATTTACGGAAATTTTTGAAATATCTTTTTATGCATTCTATTACTCATGAAATATATCAAAAAAAAATAAATAAACAAATAATCAATTGATGTATCTAAATTAAAAATCGACTTAATATGTAGAATAAAATTAAATTTTTATTTATAGCATCCGAATGAACGATGGATTGTATTAGATAGTGAAGTATTATTAGCAAAAAATGGTCAAGTAACTGGAACATTTAATACAACTGGACATTGTCTATTATTAAGATTATTTCTCGAATTACCTGCAGGTAAGAAGAAAAACTGAAGACAAAAAATAGAAATGTAAAACGAAAGACTATTGTACTATGTGAATTCTGCTAAAAAAATTGAGTTGTCAAGATGGGAAAAAATAAATTGTGAGTTATGTTTTTAATGCATCTTTTTTACTATTGATATTAGAGAGCCAATTCAAACGCCATTCGAAAGAGTAGATATTTTTGAAAATATTACTACATATAAAAATAATTAATATAGAAGACCACTTAAGTTTTATAAAAATAAAATTTCTTTTATCGTGTTAAAGTGTTGTGTTTCTAGCATTCATCAAAAATGATATTACAAAGTTTGGAAATCTAACCCTATTATTTATTCTACCGGTTATAGTTGTACGTTTCAAAACGGAAAGAATTAATCATCTAATTGTGATGTGACTTTCACTATAAAAACTCATTAACTGGAGCTAATATACCAGTAAAACAAAAATTGCCTTCATCATCTATTAACTGAATCAAAATTGAAAAATGAATTTGTTTAAGAGTATTTCTCATCCTCTGTTTGTCAAATTTTCGATTTTCGAGTTAGATATGGCACACTATACAGTTAAGTGTCCTTTATATAATCAGACGTCTTTCAACTCTCTATGACGTTTTCTTTCCTAGTTATGCATTTTTTAAAATACTGATGATCCAACATCAACATGATAAATTTAAATCTCCAGTGACCCATCTTAAAAAATGTATAACTAGGAAAGGAAACGTTGTAGAAAAGCGTAAATTTAAAAATAAATACAGTTTAAATCAAATGTCCTAGAGAGTTGAAAGGCGTCTCATTATATAGAGCGTGCGTCCACTTAAAAAATAAAATTCTTGTGTCATCAAATATTTTTTAATGAAACTCCTACTAAAAATTTTTAATGAAAGTTACGGTACTTTCCTTAAAAAAACACGCGTTAATGGAAGTTCTTTGAATGAATGTCATCCAATCCATCAAAACCAGCTAATACGTTCTATTTTGCGAATAAATGAAAACGTGCTTAATCGTTGAAACGTTATTGATAAAATTGAAGGATATACGTCGCCGGTATTTACATTCGTACAAGCACAAATTATTATGGGATCAAATACACAACGTTATGGTTATATTTACGGATATATCTACATGTTTGTGTGACTTATTGACTGAATACGCATATTTTCATAATTAATGAAATTTATAGTGTGCCTGACGAGTTATTTTCATAGTTTTGTTGACGGTGGGTGAGAATGAAAATGAGCCACCAGATAATGCCATCAGTCCTGTAAACTTATTCGTAATTTGATTCAACGAACCATTGGTAGAAGTAGTCAGTCAGTCACATATGTACTTATTCAATACACAGTTATATACATACACACAGAATGGAATCAGTGAATCAAACATATAGCCATCTATGCCTACGCTCATTCAATACACAACATGAAAAATCATTTTTACAAAGTTTGAACAGTCTCGTGAAGTAGAGTTATTTTTATATGTAGTAATATTTGCTCTTTCGAATGGCGTTTGAATTGGCTCTCTACCATTAATAATAAAAAAAGATATACGAAAACAAAAACTCACGGTTTATTATCCTCAACTCAGTACTATGAGCCATTCTACGTAACTCGGCCAAAGATATGATTCTGTAACGTTTTGTACTGGAGGGTGTTTCATAAAAATTCTTAATTACTCGACTTAACTAAGTCTAGATTTAAGTGTATAAAATTAACATGTAAGTGTACAAAATGAAGACTTAAGTCTAGTCTTAGTTAAGTCGAACACTTAAGAATTTTTATGAAATATCCTCCTGCTTTCTTGACTTTATATTTTTCAAATGAAACGATGCGTAATGCTCGTGATGGTTCCGTTGTCTCAAGTGAAGTATCCTTAACAAAATGGCAAATCTCAAAACTCTCTGGAATTTTGAATTACGAAATTATATCAATAAAAGATATACATTATTTAAAAGACGAAAATTTTTTTAGAAGTAATGTTTAGCATTTCCGTAACCAAGAGCTCTGCTCTTTTGTTAAGCACACATTTCTTCGAAAAACGAGTAACTCGCGAGCTCCCAGCTTAAGGGTGGGACATTTCCAGTTCCTAGAGTTCTTTAGAACTGATGAGAAGAACTGGTTATCCGTTTTCGTTCAAAACTGGCAAAGCTAGTTACACTGACTTTGTATAGTCCACTAAACGCACCATCTACCTTTGATGCACTAAACAAAGTCATTGCAACTAGCTTCATCGATTTTGTTTTATTATGAGTTATTGAAAAAAACTGGTACCAGTTCACATTCTTAACCAGTTACCTTTCAAAAGAACTGAACGGTAACTGTTTTTTGTGTTTCCATTCCTACTTCAAGCGTCTTTTCGTTCGAAATATATAAAATAGCTGAAAACGTTACGAAATCACATATTCGGTCGAGTGACAGGGAGAACGGCCCTTATACGATAACCCTAATTGTACTTTAACTAATGCATTTACATCTGTTTTTCTGTATACTATAGATTAAACCGTTCAACCAGCCGGTCATTTTATTTTTGTTTCTGTTTAGATCTGACCGAAGAAGAGTCAAAAGATTTACACCAAAAACTTGAATATTTGAATGATATATTAGATAAAGAAGTATGTATAAATATTTTATACGTAACTATGTTCTTTCTACACAGTCGCTTTTCAATATTTGAGTTAAAAAGTATTTTCATAAATAATTAATATACTTTTTTGAAACAAAAAATGTCATTCTATTTTGTCGAGCGTACAGATTATTTTCGCTGGATTATCTCTTGTCTAGAGATCTGCTATCTGATTTTCTTGCTGTTCGATATTTTTTCAGTGCGGTAATACTAAAAAAAAAGTTCATCCAGCAGCTATAATGCTCATCCAAATATCTCAATAGTTACAGATTTTTTGCCAAATGATTGGTCAATAACAAGAAACTGGTTGTTAAATAGGAAATATATTTCTATAGACTGAATTGGAGACAATCTACTGTCAGTGTAGATATGCTTGATTCTTATTACACGGGATATAGGTGATGTTTCTTCTGAACATCTGTCTTATGAATACCAAGCAGCTCTGTGTTGTAACAACTATGAGAAGCAATAAATATGTGTGAAGAAATAACTGGGACCTAACATTTATAATAAGATGAATAACGAAAAGTCGTGCAATAGTAGATCGTTCCATTCTGAAATGACTTGTTCTTCACCACAATTATCACATATGGAATAGACTATGTGAAAAAAGTAGCAAAATATGAATAACAGGATGACTCGTCCTTACACACTGGTGTACTACCGTAATATATGCATGCATAAGATAAATTGCACTGTTCATGTAACTGTTAAATCTCAGTGCACAACTGGATATTCAGGATCATTTCATTAGACTCGTTCTATTATCAAATGCTATTACTACTTTAGTAATACTGTCTGGTAATTCTAAAGGACAGTGGATGATCAATATTGAGCTATGATTCATCTCATTCTACTTACCTCTTGTACAACGTTGACTTGATAATTAAACTACGGATGTTTTTACCCAGCTCCGTTCGCTTTTTACCCGAGTAAGATCTCATTGTGCGTATCTTATAGTCCGTGAAAAGTTTGATATAACCTCATATTTGCTCATATTTAAAAAAAACATGCGGAATTTGATGAAAAAAATCTCACAAAAAAACAGCTTTAACTAAAAAATCCGCCCTAAGTAAGCTTTGTTTTTGTTTCAATAAAAGGTTTTTAGAAAAATATCCCAGACAGATATTCGATAGAGTCTAAAAAATTGTCTATAGGACTAGGTTTCAAGTTCTTCATACAAAAAAATTTTAAACAAAGTAAAAACGAAGTTTTTCGAAAATTAGGGCTTTCCAGCTGTTTTCATCTAATATTAAAAAGTTCGCAATTCACTCAGAAAACATCAGAATGACTTTGAAACTTCAGAATGTACAGTATTTAAAAGAAATGTACATAAAAAATTAGAGAACTCTTTGGTTTTAAGAAAAGTTTTCTAGAAAATCTTTAGCTAAAAATATGAGTTTTCATTCTATAATCACATCTAGCGGACAAAATTAACCATAACCTGAAGTTTTGTAATCGTTCTAATGTTTTCTGAGTGAATTGTAAAAATTTCTTAATATTAGGTAAAACCAGCCGGAAAACCCTAATTTTCGTAAAATCTGGTTTCCTCTTGGTTTAAATTCGACGTTTAGTATTTTCTCTACTCCATCTTGATGGTTCAACATGAATTAGTTTTGTTTTTCGATAGGCTAAAATGAAAATAAACTTTCTGTCAAGGCAATTTTCAAATTATGTCACTGTTCCTGATAGAATCGCAAATCTTTAGAAGTCACACATGCATTTAATTTCAATTTCAACTTAAAATGTGTGCCAAAGGATGGAAAGAGACGAAATTCAAAAAGTCACCTCAACAGAAAGTTAGATAAAAATGTCTACACTGTGAATTTATCCACGGCGGGGTCAAAATAGCCTCTTGTTCTTTGTTAGTAGATAGATAGATTTATTTTACACAAAGGTAGGATATCCGGAAAAAGCGCAAAAAGGACTTGTGGCATCCGGAGACACCTCATGATTAACTAAACTGAAAAGTTTCTAAAAAGAATCGCTACTATAACACATACATTGTAAGAGAAAACATAAGTGTGATACACTTTAAGAGAAAGAATAGATATAAACATAAAAATTATTGAAAGCCTAGATGATCTCCTAACATACGCTTAAATACAGATAAAGAACTGACATGCTAAAATCGAAGGAAATTCATTCCATTCCTTTGAGCCACGTGGAACGAAAGCGTATATTAAGGTGAGCGGTAAAGGTTGAATCATAGATAACACAAGCGTATTCGAGCACTGATCGTACACAGGTTTTATACAGATGACAACGTAAAAACGAGGGCGAGTCTCGAAAAATTCTGGAAATAGAGCCTAACATTTGCCGAGATTTTGTTGAAACAGACTCAATGTGAGATTTTCATGTTAAATTATGCGAGATACAGAGATGGGCCAGTACGAGTATATACTCGAGTACAAAATTCCTAGTACTCGTACTCGGGACTATTTTTAACGAGTATTCCAAAAAATACTCGAGTACTTCCCAAAAAACTGGTGACCTTTTTTCTTACGTACGTATCAAAAAATCGATTTTTTGGAATCACCAGCTTCTTTAGAAAAATTTTATATTCGAGTAGTACTCGAGTACTTTTCAGAAAATACTCGTACTCTTACTCGTACTCGACCCCTCAGTATTTGTACTCAGAAATCTGTGTACTCGCCCATCTCTGACGAGATAATGACACAAAGTAGTTTGAGAGATGAAAATCGCTTAATAATGTTTTTTATTGAAAGAGTGAGCGACGGAAGTGTTTTTGTAGAGTTAGAAAATAAAATTCATTGACATTTGTTTATGTTTAATTTTACCTTATTTATATCACACCAAAGAAGAAGCTCATCGATACAGTTTCCCATCGTCAGCAAAGAGACAAGAAAGAAGAGAAGATTTGAGCGACAGCAAAAGATCATTAATGAATATAAGAAATAAAATCGGGTCTAAAATACTGCCCTGCGGTGTGGTACAACAGACATCACACGAACCGAAGAAGAAAAAGACGAACCAACGGAAATTTTTTGTGTACGATTAGAAAGAGAAGAAGAGAACCATTTAAGAAGAATTCCTGATATCCCTGCTTTAGAGAGCTTTCAAAGAAGAATATAATGTGGCACGGTGTCGAAAGCCTTTCCAAAATCAAACGAAATATCGATTAACTTGTTCTTTTTCTCTAAGTTCTGATAAACCTTATGTGTAAGAAGAAGAAGAGCGTCTACAGTTGACGTACTAGAACGAAATCCAAACTGAGTCCGATTTAAAAAGTTTGTTGAGGTTAGAAACGAAGACAAATGGCTGTAAACAAGTTTCTCAAACATTTTGCTAACATTAGAGAGTAATGAAATAGGACGGTAGTTCTTAACGAGTAATTTGCTATCTTTCTTATGTACTGCTCGTATAATAGCTTCTTTCTACGCAGACGGAAAAACTCTAGTTGAGAGAGAAACAGAGAAAATATGGTGTAATTGCGGCGAGATGACACCGGTACAAAGTTTTAGAATTTTGACTGGAATTTGATCAGTACCTAAAGAAGTTTTGTTTTTTTTTTTTTTAAACTATTTATAGCTTGAAAAATATCGGATACATCAATATCAATTTTTGATAAACTTTCAGAAGACGATAAGAAAAAAAAAAGGATGATGATACAATGTCTAACGAGGGAACCCCTCGAAGTGATTAAACGCTTTTTGCTCGGAATCTAGTGGGTTATAGGTTATCGACCATGCTGATTACGAATACGACCATAGGGCTTCCCCATAGCCCTTCGAAGACCTGGTTTTCTAGCAAACCAGTTTTTCAAAAACTCTAAAATATAATCCGAACCTTTCTTAATGAGGCATGATTGTAGCCCGCACATTTCTGATTAAAATGAGACATCTCCCAGCTTTGTACGACCTTTCTTTGCACAGTTATAGAATTTACAAGAAAATCCCTAAATTAATTTCTTATTTCTGTAGCTTTGAACTGACAATGAACATTTAGGGCTTTTCTTGTAAATTCTATAACTGTGCAAAGAAAGGTCGTACAAAGCTGGGAGATGTCTCATTTTAATCAGAAATGTGCGGGCTACAATCATGCCTCATTAAGAAAGGTTCGGGTTATATTTTAGAGTTTTTGAAAAATTGGTTTTCTAGAAAACCAGGTCTTCGAAGGGCTATGGGGCAGCCCCATGGTCGTATTCGTAATCAGCATGGTCGATAACCTATAACCCACTAGATTCCGAGCAAAAAGCGTTTAATCACTTCGAGGGGTTCCCTCGTAAGTGTCTATTTAGTACGTCAGTGTAGTTTTGTTGTTTTGAATGTAACGACACGTCTAACCGATGAGTTAGAGGTGACTATACATCTTGACGGTAGCTAGTGTCTCGTAACTAACTGCAGTCATTATAGTAAAAAAATACAAAAATCTAACAGGTGGCTCTCCAAGACATTGGGACCTATGATAAAAATATAATTAAAACTTTACCTCGAATAACTATATTATGCACTGTAGATGCCTTTTTTAATCATCATGACGCCTTACAAAGGCATTTTTATTCACATTGTAGATCAATTCGAAAGAAATTATTATTGTAGCAAAACGTAATAAGACGGGATAAAGAATTATATACAAACATACTCTATACTACAATTATAATTTGTGTTTCAATAAACTCAATTTTAATAATATATTTTTTTAACCTTATCTCACTAAAGAAGATTTAGCTAATACATAAAAACATTTGAAAGAAATGAATTTAGTTTTACAAATACCATACAGTTTGATTTAGTTTTTAATACTATCATACGCAAGTTAATGATAAAGATACAGGGTAATTATTAAAGCAGACAACAAATTGAAGCTGCTCAGAACATCGGCATACTGACATACCGTGTCAGAAAGGCCAATTTTGAAATAGCAAAAAAATTATCATCATTTTGGTTTCTCAACTTTAGCAAAAATGTTTGTATACAGTCCTACAAGTCGTTTTTCTATCTGACACTGTTTTCAAGAGTAACTAACTATTCTGAAGATAGTTTTTTTATACACCTTGTCTGTTGTGCCACTAGTTCTGTTAGGGTTTATAAACATACCGGAATTGTAGTCAAAATTTAGGCTTGACATATTTTGGAATTTATACTGATTTTTGAAATGTGTTGAAATTTTTTAACTTTATTTTCTAATACAGCAGTCGAGAACAAATGATCAAAAATCTCAGTGTAATACGTGTTCTTTATATGAATTTATCTTTATGAAAATGTATAGAAAAATAAGATTTCTAGAATTGAAATCCTATCATGTCCTACTGTACGATTCTATCAAATCCTATGCAAGAATTTTAACGTCTTTCTACAAGTATAGAATAGTATGAGACTTCTGCTAGAATTCTTGGATCTAGTGGTAGATCACTTTTTTTTTTTTAATATTCTATTTTTTGCAGATAGATAAACAATTTTTTGAAAAAATTAGATAAAAATAGCCAAATTTAAATTAATTATTATTCTTGATTACTATATGTTTTGAGTAAATTGACGAATGTGACAACTTTTCACACGAAAATATTGTACGTAAAGACCTAACAATAATGTGACAAACTTTGAGTAACATGATTATCAAACAAAATCTTCAACAGTTCAATGTTTTTTCTGACTAAAGAAACAAGAAAAAAAAAGAAGAAAAAGATTATTCCATAAATTTTTCTCTGATCAGTGTTTTCATAACTATTCATTTAAGAAAACAAATAACACATCACATCAAGATAGTGTGTTTTCTCGTCTTCCTTTCATTTCTACTGTGTGTTTTTTCGGGTCAAAAATGTCGCTAAAACCGTATCATAAGAAAAGTGAAAATAACTGGAGATTTAGCAACCCTGAGGATGAAGTATAAGAATAGAAAAAGAAAAAAACTCATAAATTTTGTTTAATAAAAATGATTTATAGATGTATCTAAGCGTCTTTCCTATTCTATCTCTAATATCTGTACTGAATGTAACCATTAAACAAGAACTTGGTCAAACAACTTTTGTCAATTGTTTTCCTTTGTGATTTTCTGATTATTCTAGTCAACTTGTGGGCGTTTTTGCTGTTTCTTTTTTACACTATCATTTTATCTAAACATTCAACTTAATTGTTGATGCACTCTCTTCCTCTCTCTCTGTTTATCTGGGGTAGTCTACTATTAAAATAGTAAATGTGTACTAATAACTGAAATGATTGTTTTTAGTTGTTGACCCTTTTTCTTTTCTCCTCCTAAAACTGTTTCCTCTTTAATATTCATATCGTCAAAAAAAAAAAAAGAAAAGAATGAAAAAAAATCGAACCACCATTTTTCTCATCAAAGTTAATTTATCAATTATTTAATCACAAACTACCTTACAATTTTTTTGTTCTTTCTTTGTTTTAATCGAGATCTCTTTTATCTTTTTGATTTTATGTAAAGAGAGAAAAAAAAAGAAGAAAAAAAGCTTCCGAAGAAACTGTTACTATATTGATTATGTGATGTAATATTAATGACAGCTTATGATCATTTAGAAAAAGAGAGACAAAAAAAAGAAAAACCAGGGAAAAAAACAAAAAAACAAAAAGTTTTTTTAATTTTTTTACTGTATACAGAAAAGAAACAAAACAGAAACGGAGAAAGAGAGAGAGAGAGAGAGGGAGGCGAGAGTTAGTCATGAAATCGACGACAAATTGATGATGGGATTTTTTAATCGATAATGATGATCAAAGGTAAGCAGTAATTTAATCAAAAACTTGACATGACCAGATATTTTGTTTGATTAAACTGATTAACATTCAAAATAAAAAAAAACAAAAGATTTTACGTCTTGACACAAGTTTTGAACATAACTTTCTTTGTCAGTAGAACAAAGGATAGAAAATAATGATGAAAATATTTTGATCTTATCTGTCATTTATATATGAAAATAGTTATGCTATTTTTTGTGGTCATTTTTCCATTATTATCAACGTGTTACAGATAATAAGTTTTATAAACTGCTGGTTTAAACTTGTTTATGAAGTAAGGTCAGTAAAGAAGGAGAGAGAACAAGGTCGATTTTCCACAGCTAATGAAAGTTATTTTTCTCTGTCAGAAACATATTAGGAGATTGCTAGAAACGTTTTTCTACAACTTTTTCTCACATCCAACATTTTTTCTACAACTTTCCTCACTTGATTTCTGGACAAACTTCTTTTCTTTTTCACACTTTTTTGAATACATCACGCATCTTGAACTAGCTTTGTTAACTAGCATTTCACTATTGTATATGTTCATGATTTTAAATCGAATAGAAATTGAATTGACCTGATATAGACTATGTTGATCACGAATACCGCCTTTAGAATGTCAAATAATTGAGTTTTCGTGAAGAAAATCACCTTTACCAGCATCATCTCGTTGTTATGAAATGTATCGTCTCACTAATGGAAATCATCATTTAAAACTGTAGAAAATGATCAATTATATATTAAAATGAATGTTCTTCCATGATATGTTCTCAAAAATCCTATAACTAAAATCGATATTATCAGAGAATTCAGAATACTACCGTTAAAAATCAGTAGAAATCGAGTATTGCTCAGTTTGAATCATGATACATACTCTTTTCACTTCTTGTTACACTGCCATTTGCCAGAACATGAAAGTTATATCTATCGTCAAATTCTTAAGTGGTATGACCTGACATCACAGTATCACAAACACTAAATAAAATCCAAAAAATGTGTATTTTTCATGCACAATTCTGAACTCTCCGATAATTATAGGATTTTTGAGGACATATCTTGAGAGTACATTCATTTTGATATGTAACTGACCATTTTCTACAGTTTTTGAATGATAATTTCCATTAGTGAGACGATAAATTTTATAATAGCGAGATGATGCTGGTAAAAATGATTTTCTCTACAAATATTCAATTATTTGACATTCTAAAGACGATATCCAATAGTCCATCTAGTCTATGTATGATCACAAAGTGTGAGGAAAATAAAGTTTATTCCAAAATCATGTAAGAAATCAAAGATGGAAAAATATGTTTCAGAAAACGTCGTAGAAGATGTTTCTAGTAATCGCCTGGTATGTTTCTGATGGAGAAAAACAATTTCCATTGACTGTGGAAAATCTTTTCTATGTGTTCTTTCCCTTTGACATTTGTCGTAATAGACCTCGATATGACTGTCAAGTAGAATTCAAGCAATGAACTAAACATTTCTTTTTTATTCTTACTGTCTTTATAATAAATTCATTGAAGTTTAATAGCGGTGGTTTTTCTACCAGTTCTTGTTTCTATTTCTTTATCAAGATGTAAATCTTTAACAAACTATAATGAGCTATTTATATATGATGAACTTAGAGTAAACATTTGTTATTTCATAAGGTGAGTTATTTAGAATATGAAATATCTATTGTTAATATGTATGACATGCTTGGACAAATAGAAAGAAAAAAAAAAGTTTGAAATCTATTAAAAAGAAAAATATGTTTTTTCTATTCAAAAGAAAGTTTAAAATTTTGATGACGGAAATGGTGAATGTATAAGGCAGATGGTAAGAAGATCAAAGAATTTTTTAAAAATGTCTCTGACATTTTTACTCTATATGTTTTCTATTTTTGATCATTTTTTTTGATTTTAAATAATTAACTTCGACAGTTCTTCTATAACAGTAAAAATTTTGAATTAACGATCGTGTAAGAAGTGTACTTCTAACTAAGAAATAGGCTTTCTCTAATCTACAACTCTCTCTTGATCTAACAGAGTTAAACTTTCTCTCTGAATTTTTTCTTCTTCTGAATTGTCATGTTGTTATAAAAATAAAAGCAAAAAGAACAAACGTCTACCTCAATTTAAAATATTTTTTCTTAATTATTTTCGTTAATTTTAGGGTCGACAATTACAAGATGTAACGTTCGAAGAATTAAATTCATTGTCATCAATGCATCTAGATCAGGTGTGTAGACAATTGAAATTAAATAAAGATTTAGAAAACAGAACATAAAAAAACATATAAAAAATAAATGACTACTGGTAACATCGAGTCCATTGCACAATTTCAATCGTTGTACAGAATATTGACACAGAACAGTGAATGTAAACGAATATAGTTTGTTGTTTGCAGATTGCTTATTCATTAATATGGCGCAAATATTATTTTATTTATTTAAATATGCTGTAGAGCTTTCGAAAGTAAAATCGGCTTATCATCAGTACAGTCTAAAAATATTTACAAAGTATTTAGGCATATTTAAATAAATAAAATAATATCTGTGCCATATTAATGAATAATCAAGCTACAGACCACAAACTACGTCCGTTTATTTCAAAAATCTTGACAAAATTCTTACATTATAATGGATTTAGTTTTACAGTTTACTACAAAGCTAAGTTCATATGTTCGAATCTGTACTCGTACAAAATTGATTTTATGTTTTTTGAGAGTTTTAGTTTAGAATACTATAATGGAATATTTTTCACCTGTATTCTGACAGAATAAAGTTTATATCAAATAAAGATGACTTTTCTTGTCTACGAAAGTAGATCCATCAGATTTTACATCATTTTTACAGATTTTACATCATAATTGATAATTTAGTTTAATTTTTTCTTTCCATTTCTTTTGTTTATTAATATTTACATTTTGCCTATTATTAAAATAGCTGCTTGTAAATTATATATAATTTTTCTCTTTGTTTATGTTTTAGAACTTTGTTAATCAACATGGTAATCATTCTCATTCACATTGTAAGTAATTTTTGTAAAAGTTGAACACTGCTGATGGAGAAGTTTTGACATTGTTTTCTTCTGAAAATCTAAATGTTGTTGTTTTTTATTCAAAAAAAAGTACTACAATTTCTTGCAGTCTGTTGTTTTAAAATTGAAAACTATGCAGAATGTTCAGAACAGTTGTTTCGCAATAAAAAAGTATTTTCGGTTAAATGATAGACATTTGGATAGAATTGTTCAATAAATGTTTTTGACTTCTTCATATTGTTAATGAATCTTATTTTGAAAAAACATATGATAGAAACACAAAGTTTAATTTCGCAGTAGTTCTCATTCTCCGTTCGAAAACTTGTATGACTGCCGTTGAAAGAAGTCACCTGCCAATAATACCGGCCAAAAATGGCCGCTGATTTTCAAAGGAAAGCAAAAAAAGTGATTCATATTGAATAAATTAATAAATTACAATTAGTTTCAGTCAATTTGTTCGATGAAATGTCGCCTATATATGCCTAATCTAATCCTTTTCTTCTTATATCTTCACAAAATCTATTTTTATAACAAGATTTGGTAGATACTTGAGTAACAAGGTGGTTTATTATTAGAAACAAGCACCTAAAGTAGAGAAATTTTCGAGACTTCTTAATTGAGATCACTTTTTTGATAAAATGTGTAACATAAAAATTAACATCAAAGAAGCATCACAGGGCGGGAAGCGCAAAATGAGAGTGAGTAGAAAACAGTGATCTCAATTAAGAATGAGCCAAAATTTTCATTATTTAGTTAGACATATTTGACTTCTACACATGTTTTCTTCTGGCAGGTAGCTTTCAACAACCGTTGAACTTACCTGCTGCTTATAACGTATGACTGCCTATATGTATCTTCATTTTATCTTCTCGTTTATTTGTTTAGTTTCTGATGATTCTGATTACACATCGGATGTATCCTATCCAATTAATCAACAGGCCAATTTGAACTATCCAATGCCGCTGATTCAAACTACAACACAACCGCCTACCCTAATGACACCAGCCAATGAATTAACTCAACAACGCCAATCTAAACTTTTTCCGTCTATATCTCGTAACGATACGAAACCTCGTGCATTTGTTCAACCACTCATGCGTGATGTTCCATCATCAACACCTGCCCAAAGACGAGAACGTTTTGTAAATCCTGCAGCAAAATCTTTATCGTTAACAACATCGAATGTTCAAGATCCAGATCAAGATCAAGAACCACTTTGTTATGTTAGTCAACCACCGATGAAAAGAAAAACAACACTAACAAATTATGATCAAGAGAGGTGAGTCATATGAATAAAAATAGAAAAAAATACAAATATCATCGCTTCAATGTTTCTTCTATTCATTATTACAACAAGAACAAAACAATCAGAACAAATAGTGTTTATTTGTTGTTTTTATAACTAAAAAGCGAAATAAAACAGTAACGAAAAATTGATTTTAGTAACTTGAACCGATGATATTTGTACGTTTATATCTGTGCTTTCGTAGATATATGTTGTTTCGTATTTGTCTTGTGTTGTTGTTGTTAGGCTAAATTGATATGGTAAGTGTGATGCTGTGCTAATATTGCTATTATTATTATTTTGTTTGTATATACACACACATACACAATGCATGTAGAAAGAACATAGACCATAAATTGCTGATGCATGATAAAACTATATTTTTGAGCACGTTTAAGAAAATTGAGTGATTTTTATTTTTGTTTTCTTTGTTTGATTAATCTTTAACATTTTTTGTCGTTTTTCTATTATATTCTCTGTTAGATAAGCACTTTTAAACTTTTTGGATACACTATTTTTTCTTTTGCTATTTCATGATAAATTTTAGAAGAATAAGAAGAAGGTTAAATCAAGTGTCAGGATGTGGAAAAAAAAAATGAGCAGTCTGCCAATTAGTAGAGAATATTGTACTTAAATAAAAACAGATCATATATTAACAAAAAAAAAAAAACAATTGATTAAACATTTCTTGACATCACATCAGAAAAGTAGAAAAATATATTCGACATAAGTTGTAACTTTTCATTGGAGTTACATTTCTATTTAGTTTTGAGGGAGTACAAATAGATAGACACGGAAATGCAAATTCATTTTTTATTTGTCTTCTGTTTGCACACACACACACACATACACACACATTTTTCTTCTCTTTTTTTTTTTGTATATTTCACAGATATTTTATTTGTGAACGCAATTAATCGGTTGTTTGTTGTTGTCCGGAACTAGAATACATTAAGCATAGCAGTGTGCATCTTATTATTATTATTATTATTACTACGTACTATGACAAAAGAAAATCAACATCATATAAAGAAAAAACAAAAAAAAAAAAGTATTAACATATTTTCTAGATACAGCCGAAAATAGAGTAGAATAAAGAATATGTAGAAGATGTATGTTGGATGTTTACTGATTTTATCCTTAACCAAGAAGAAATATATAGATTTTTTAAACGATTTTTATGGTACATAAACACAGCTAGTCTAAATAAAAACAAAATTATATCAAATCTTAAACCTTGAAAGAGACAAGGTTACATTTTTATTGAAATTGAACAAATAAAGAATAGTAGAAAAATTCATTAATAGATTAATGTTTAAATATCACACTTTTCTATAAGTCAATGTTTGTACTGTAAACAATTAAATTGTCTCAACAAAGAAAGTTATCATTGAGATAGAAGAATTGTTTAAAAAAGTATTAAAAATCAGACAAATTTGTAGAATATTTTTGTATGTAGAAATAAATGTTTATTGTCAAATTATTATTATGTATGATTTCTATTATTCAAATGATAGAACTGATTAATTTTAGAAATATTTTTTATATAAATTTGAATGATGAACTGTAATAATTTTGAGTTGGTGAAAAGTTTTATATCAACAGAGTTTGATAGGCATTTTTATTAGCGTGTGTCGAATGATAAAACGGATATGAGAGGAGCTGTTCAATGACATCTTGTTTTTATGTTTTTATTTTTTATTGAATATCTAAAATTTTCTACTCTATCAAAATCATGTATGTCATTCTGACCTTTTTTTTTATTCTGGACACCTCCTAAATTGATTAAATTTGAAGAGTCATACACTCACACAAAAAATTAATGGGTTGTTCAATTATTAATCTATGTCATTGATCGAGTTTATTGTTTAGCGTTCTCTTCATGTAAAAAAATGATTAATCGATTTTTGTCAATACAGAATCGAACAGAAACGACGGAAATCAGTAGAGGAAACAAAAAAAAAATCTTGAAGAAATATTTAATCTGACTAAAATACATAAAATTTTTCGAGCGATATTCATCTTTATGATCGATCATAAAATCAAATACAAGAGATAGAGAGAGAGAGAAGCGAGAGAGAGCGGCGAGAGAGAGAGAGAGAGAGAGAGAGAGAGGGAGAGACCGAGAGAGAAAAGAATATGACAGGTAACACTTGTTAATCAAAACAGTGATGACCTTTTCACTGTTTCTCTAAATAGAATAATGAGACATAAACTCTTAAATTTTCTCTAAATGAGAGAAACGATTAGAATTTTAATAATTTTTATTCTGTATTTTTTTGTTCCATTGTATTATGTTTGTTTTTATATCTCATAAAAAACTTGATGATCATTTTGAAAAAAAAAATCTTTTTGAAAAAGGTTTATCTCTTTTCTTTCTCTCTTCTCTCTCTCTCTCTCTGTCTGTCTGTTTCGCTCACCCACATATCATTCCTAAACTCTCATGCGTAGCTTTTCAACAAAAAATATGTTTTTCTTTTTCTGTATATTATCTCAATGAACTTGAAATTTATCCACATACATACTATATATAGAAAAGAATGATTGGAAATTTGTTTTTTAATCCTCATCATTTCTCTTTTTCTCAACGTTTTTTTTCTTCTCCTCTTTCCTATTATATATAGTTCTCTAATTTATTAATGAGCAAACGGCATCGTAAAAAAAATACCAAGAATAAGATATTTCTGTGTATATTGCGCGAATAGAGAAAAAAAAAAGAAAATCTTTAAGAATTTGTATTTGTGTATGATTAGATTTCTCTCTTCTTTTTTCTTCCTCTTTTTTTTTCCCCGTTTGTTGTTTTTCTTTTTTTGTTTATGCTGATACTACCACACCAGATGAACTAGTAGAGAAACTCATTGCTAGAAACAAGAGAGGGAAGAAGGACTCTACCAGATATATAGAATTTTTCTCGTACACTTTTTTTATCTTCCTGTATCTAAAAATGAAATGACAGACACGCATTATTACAATTAAACCATGATGATTATTATGATGTAATTCATTAGGAAAGAGTTAATAGTTTATTCAGTAGTTGTGATTGTTTATTACGTACAATTCTTCACGGTTGTGAGAAGATTATGAAAAAACGTCGTAAGAAGAAAATAAAAAAATAAAAAAAAAATAGAAAAAAAAATATATAATAAAACAGGTTGACATGACAAAACAAGATAATAATAATAGTTCTAATTCAATTAGTTTATTTTCATGGTTTCGTGATATATTAATAACATTAACACCTAATAAACAACAACAGCATACACGTCAGTTATCCACAACACCATCGACTGTATCCTCAGCAAATAGTAACCAATCAATTCAATCATTTTATCATAATCCTTATCGATCGACAACGACCATGAAACATCCAACAATATTAAAAAACTATAATAATATAACGCAAGCTAAAAATAATCATCATAATTATATTGATATGCCACAGCAACAATTTTCAAATAAAAATAATTATCCAACATTCTTAATTGAATCACAACGAAGAAAATTACCAACAACACCGGTATCTCGATTAGAACAAGATGATGATGATGATGATGATGGTGGTGGTGGTGATTCATCAACTCTTGATGATCAAATAAAAGCAAAACTTTTACTTTTACATCAACGACATAATACAGCAGCATTACAACAACAACATCCACGACATCGTTCACCATCTCCTCCATCTCATTATTCATCTCGATCATCGATAACAGTTCATGAACAAGCAATAAATACCGCACCTATTTCACCCTATTCTTATTCACATCGCCGTAATAGTTATGCCTATCGAAATAGTATTATACATTCGACGTTACCATTACCGTCTTATTATAATCGTTCATCGACAAATCATTTATTAACAACGTCAAGTGATGATGATAATTATAATCGATCGAAATCAACGATAACTGACGATGAAAATTTGAGTATTAAAGAGGATAAAGAAGAAGAAGGGGATCAACGACCAGTAGAAGAAAGAGAAGAAGAAGAGAAGCAACGTCAGTCATTACGTACATTGCCACCACCACCACCACCACCACCGTGGCTATTAAAAAATCATCAGAATATAAATTATTATCATCAATATGATGAAAATGATATGCAATTTGATTTTGCATCTGTTGTTTTATGGTATAAAAATGTTATGCAGTCTGTTAAAAAACTTCTGTAAGTAAAAAAAAAACAACAAAAAAAAAATTTGTACTTGTTTGAAATTTGAGATTGATAATTGAGAGAAAATATGTATAAATGCTAAAACTAACGGATAATATTTATAATTTCCTGGATTTTTGAAACTTATATTCAAAATATCCATTCATTTAAGTCGCCTTGACACCTTAACTTGTCTGTTGCACGAATAGTTTTATATAATATCTTTACTAAGATCAAATGGTGTTATTAAAATGGATGAATAGGAAGATTAATGTCAAAAAAGATGTTATTCATTTTAAATTCTATTATCTTAAAGTTTCACATTATAAAAAAAAATAATCTATATTATTATGAATATTTAAAAATTTTTTCTCTTTTCAAGAATGATATTTTATCTGTTTTTGACTAGAAATTCTTGCTTGTCTAGTAGAAAATTTCTAACATCAATTCAATGACTTACAAAAACAAAAAAAATACATAGATTTTTCATATCATTTTTATTTTAGCAATATTTCTCATTTGTAGGACTTTTTCATAAACAAATTACTCTGATGTATATTCAGTTTTAGTTTTCTTCAAAGATATTCTCTAATGAGAATTTTATTCACTATTTTTATGTTTTACATATCACTTTCAAACTTCGAAAAGAGAAAAATAAAATTTAAAATTTTTCATTTGTACTGAATAATCTTCAACAACAACAAAAACAAACCTGAAAAAGAAAGGCCCAAATGTTGTTTACACTCTCTCTCTCTCTCTCATTCTAAAATGTTCTTCTTCTTTTTCTTTATTCTTCTTTTGAAGTAGCATGATAAGTTGTGTGTGCGTGTAGTTTAAGTATAGATCTTAAAACATATTGTGTCTTATTTCCGAAAAAGGAACAAATCCGCTGTAAATGAGAGCTATTTTACGCAGGTGATTTTATGTTCCTCGTTTTAATTAACGATCGAAAATTTCTCTGTATTTCACTACTTGTAGAGTAAATAAACCATCTGAAAATAGAAGAAACAAGGAAAACACATCTAAAAATGAAAAGAAAAAAGAGAAGAAAAAATGAGCACAATTCTTTCTTGTCTTCTCGTGTGACAAGATATGAGCCCATTTTTAAACAAAAAATTGTTGTTGTTGTTTTATATCATGAATCGATAGACAAAGCATGAAAAAAGTTTCTTCCTACTTAAAAATTGGTTTTTTTGAACAATTTTTTAACAGACATTCTACTGTTTTTTTTTCGTAATATTTTGCTCGAGGAAATCTACAAGTCAATGAACCTGTCAAAGTTAAGATTTCTATTACTGTTTTACCTCTTGAAAAGAATCTGTCAGCTTATTAGATATATAAGTGTAAATAAATAAGTAGAAAATGTAATTATATTGATGAAAAAATTCTTTCAAGCGGAAAACTGAAAAATTGTTAATGTCAGTTGAATTTTTTTTAAAAATTTTCGTTTATTCTCTACATATGTATTAAGGAAATTGGCACATCAAAACTTCATAATTACAATGAATAGAAAGAGAGTGAGAGTAAGAGAAAGAGAGTATTATCAATTAATAATTCTAATTACTTTTGTTAACTTATATAAGTAACAATATTTCAATAGACTAATACAAAAAATTAGTATAAAAACTCTCGTTTTTTTGTTTGAAAAATCTCATTTTCTTCGTAGAAAATGACAAGTGCAAGATGATATTTATATATTTTTTTGTTTTCCATAACTGACAGACCCGACTACTGGTACACATATGTATACACTTGAGATACAGAGAAAAAGAGAGCGAAAGACATAAAACAACTCAAAAAAGACTGTAAAAGCTCTCTGTTTATATTTTTTAGATTGCATTAAAGTACTTTTTTTTTCTTTCTTTTCTTCTCTTGTTCATGTTTGTTGTGTTGAATATATGTTGTTTTAGAAAATATGAAACAAAGAACGATGTTCTTCCTTGATGCAAGGCAAAAGCAAACAAAAATTAGATTTTTAGTTGACTATCGAATTTTTTATTAATATATCGAATTAGAAGCATTTTTTAAGGCAATTATTTACTTTTAAAATTAAATCTTTTTTAAAAAATGTCTCAATATAGCTACTAGGTTATTTATAAGAAGAAAAAAAATTTTTTTTTTTTTTTGTTTTTCCCATTACATAAATTCCTATTGACATACGAATCGGTGTCAATGTTCAATTTAAAAGATTAAAATATTAAAAATAAAAAAATAATAATAATAACAAAAATTATTGTTACACATAGTTTGATTCATGTACAAGAATATTAAGTAGTAATGACGTCAATCGATGATTTTTAGAAAAGATATTAACCTTGGGGCACATTAAAATGATATAAGCTGATGAGAAAGAATATTAGCATAACACTATATCATAACGTCTTTTTAAATAATATCCATAGTTAGATTGAATATGGTTTTTGTAGTGTCTATATATAAATGTTTTAATAAAACCTAATGATTCTTGAAGTTGTGCGTGACTTTTACACTAAAAACGATATCATTGTTGGTATGTCTAATCTAATTGTAAAAGAAGAAATTTTTTTTTTTTTATTTATTCACTGAATTCAATTACTTACAGACAGACAACATTTTTTTTTTTTCTACTACACTGAATAATAAACACACATAGAGATCTATTAAACTATATTTGTTAAGAATGTCAACATAATTACGGGGTTTACATGCACTTTTCTATCCCTTATACCTTTTATCATCGTGTAAAAATGTACAAAACAATTTGTATAAACAGATTTGAAGATTAAATGAGGAAATAAAATTTTTTTTTTACTATTATTTTAATAATAAATGTAAAAGACGTTCTTAATCACTTGATAGTTCTCATTATCATATATTCCTACTAAAAATAGAGGCGTCCATTTTTCAGCGAGATTTCACTGAACTTTTCAATTTTCATTTGTTAAGAATCTGATTAGCTGATTAATATTTTTTATTCAAAATATGAAAACATACGTTAAGTCATAGAGAAATATCTCTCTCCATGAGTCATCAAGTTCACAGTTCAGATTTTTTTTACTACTATCTCATCGTTTAACTTTGGAAGTGAGATATAATTGCAGTTCAGAAACAGAAACTGTAGAAAGGTGTGTATATTGGATATTTCGATTGACTACCATGTATGGTATACTTTAACTGTCTAACGGACAGTATTTGTGATCATAGGTACTGGTGTTCGAATCTTCACTGGATCTAAAATGGCACGTGTATCAACATTGATTGATTGATAACACTACTTTTGAGATCCAAAATTGAAATAGAATTCTTTGCAACATCTGTAAAAATATCACAATATATGATTTTAACAGACTACTTAAAAGAATTACAATCAACCTATGATCTTTTTTCTTTTTGTAATTCAACGAAAGTAAGTAAATTGCTTAAAAGGAATGGATTAGACCAGGCGAAAAAAAAATTGTGTGACACTTCCTTATTTGATTGAATTTTCTTCATATTGTTAATTTAATATAAATCTGGAATTAGTTTCATATTAATTTCGTGTCTAGTTAAAATTGATAAATAACTACTATACGTCAACGAAAAAGAAATTGACTTCATCTATTATTATAAGAATAAGTTCTCTCGTGCATAAAATGTTCGACGTAGATCACGTAAATAGATGAAAGAACTACTACCTGTCGGTAGAACTGTTAATATTGTTTTCTTGTCGGAACCTGTAGTTCTTCAAATTATTCCATCGTTTACTGAACTGTCAATAGTTAATCAAGAGTTGGATTTAACTTAGTGTATTATCTATTAGTCTATACTTATTAACTTTTAAAATATTGTACATTGACTGAGTATTTTTTTATCAGCGCCGACAGTTTGAAGATTTGGGAAAAATCACCTTCTACAATGTCGACTATGTTAGTTTTCTACTACGAGAGAGTAAATGTATCGATGTGGAGAAACATAAAATCGAAAAATAAATCCTTATCATTTCCCAATTGTCAGTTTGAATAAAATTATAGAAAGGAAACAAACTGAATAGAAAATAAAACTGATAAGTTAGATTCATTATAGAATCATCAGCTCTATCAGCAATAATAAAGGGAGTCGGGTTTTCGATTCAATCCCAATTCATCGATATTTTATAGTATTGGCGCCACACTAACATCTTTCGTTATAGGAAGATTCGTCAATTGAGCATAAAATACAGTGTTCTCTTTATCGCCTTCGTAATCACGCGTAGCATGATTGCTATTTAGTTATTAATAGGAAATATTAGATTTAATTCAGTTTTTATCGATTTCATATTTAAATTGTTCTCAGTTTATTGACGACCATATGTGTAACGTTCATTGAAAAACTACCCACGTCATCTATTTTGTTTTTGACTAAGTTTTATAGCAACAGCCATCAATAAATTTGTTATGAAAATGTCAACATTCTCTCTGATAGTATCAGATATATTTCAGTTTAATTCACAACAATTTAGTACAGTTTATAAGATCAATTCAATCATAAACTATCTTATTCAAGGGATTATTTTCAATAATCTTGAATTCTTGTTATGTTTAATCTTTCTTGGTCAGTCGATTGGTTATTACAATTTGAATATGTCAGAAAACGTCTATCAGCTTTTGCTATGCCCTTCAATCGAAAAAATGTCTCACGGTCAACGTTAAAGGTGATCAAATGACGAAAAAGTATCCAAATAAACATGCTCTAAAATACTTGTGTATGATGAAAGAAGTCGAAATAGAATATGAAAATCTAGTCTGTTTGTTTTGGAATAGAACGTGTAGCTAAATTGGAAGGAACCGTCTGTATAGGATGCAATTCGTTCTTTCTTCGAAGACTTAACTTTCAGACATTTTGAGTAAAGAAGATCAGTTGTTCAACCTTCGCGATGCATCAACTATCTCAAAAAAAAAGTAAATTACTATTTAATCCAGTTTAAAAAACTTTTTAGGTGCACTCCAAAAGACAAAGACAATGCACAAATTAATAAAGGAAAACTAATCAACGCCGACTTTGTCCATTGCATTGTTGTAAGAG